ACACACATCCTGTCCCTACATCTTTCTCTGCATTGAGGAGAGTATGGCAAACTTTTCCTTGGGAAGACAAATCCCCAGTGCTCCCTTTCCCACCCCTTCATTCCCACCATCCCGCTTGCTACCATTCCACTCCTTTGCTCTCCTGGATGCTGCAGCACGCCAATGCAGCAGGCAGTCCCCTTCTCCACTGTGCTTCCCCTTTCATCCATTTAGTCAATCATTCTACACCAGACTTGGCCCTAAAGCTTCCACACCTCTGATCTTCTTGTGGAACGACTGCTTCATTTAAAAGAAAAAATAAAATTAAAAATAATTCCAGAACTCCAAAACTTTCTCCCCGTTTACTGGTCTTACGTCGCCACTAAATTAATAGATAAAATGAGCCCCATACCCATTCCAGGCAAACCAGCTACCTGGAAACGTGTATGAATTGGCTGCAGAGACATTTTTACGTAAGCCCTGCACACAAACACATCCAGAGACCTTCCCACGGCAAAAGGAAATCAGCCAGGAATGGTCCAAGAGACCGAGGCATGTCAGAGGAGCTCTCCCAGCAGGTAGTTGTTAGAGACACAGATGTTACAGTGGGTATGTAAACCAGTTAACCAGTAAACCATTTTCATATAAGCTAGACTTAATTGTCACAGTTACCAACACAAAAATTGAAACCTATTAACTTCATACTTGTTTGCCTTAAAACACACAATACATGCTTTCAAAATATTTTCTGTTTTGATGATTAATTCTACACAGACCTAGAAACAAAAGACATCTGTCACTATCTGTCTACTTCAGATAGTAAAACACCCAAAGGCAAGAAAATACTGCAAGAACCCTCTGAAGAACAGTGGGTTATTTATGCTGACAAAGACATGATGCCTTATCCCATCTTTATAAGAGGTTCTGATGCTGCGTGCTCATTACTTGCATAAAAACCTCTGTCAGGAAATCAAATTACATAAAAATTACATTAAAAATGGTAATACAGGTATGAAACCCAAACTTTTCTTTTTATGTGCATGCACTGCAATTTTGGGGCAAGTCATAAGCTTTGCTGTAGTTTTGGGGATTTTATTCCTTATGGCTGCTAGAGGGGCTGGTGTGGAAGCAGAGTGGATCGGTCTCTGAGGAACACCAGGGCTTTTCTGCTTCTTTCACCCAGGCACTTGCTGACCTTGGGCAGCCATCTTGCTGCACAACTCTCCTACAAAATAGATATGAAGATATTTAGCGTGTTTGAAAATTGGAAATATGAGCCAGTGGGGAATTTCCCGCTGACTGCAACATTGCACGACCAGGTGCTCTTCAACTGCATGCAGAGGAGGGAGACAAAAGCAGCAGAGAGCTTGGAGTTGTTAAAAATAAATCCATGACGACAGGGTGCAGGACAGTCTGTCTTCAGCCAAGTTTACATATTGGTTACACCTCCTTTAAGCTATGTTTTTAAAGCACACACACACACACAATCTGTTCTGCAACAGGGGCTTGAAAACCTGTTTGTCAACAAATAATTAGCTCACAGCCCGAGTAAGTATGTCCCAGGGGCTGGGCCCAGCTGTTCTTGCTTAGCCAGCACCTCCCAGGAGCTCTGCCCAGGCACTCAGCACAGGGGAAGGCCTTAAGCTCAATAACTGTGCTGACATTTGCAGCAACAAAATCTAAGCAGTTAAAGAGTCAGTTTTATTTAACTTTACTAAGCTATCGCTGAGCGCTCGGTGCAGTTATCATATGTATGCCAAACCTAAAATTTTAAATCTCCTTTAACCTAATTAAACTAATAAAATGGATTTAAATATACTTACTTAGCACTCAACACAGCTGTTTAAAACCTCTCCAGTAGACTCTGACCTCTCTTATTAGCAAGATGGTTAAGGATAGAGATAAACTCCGCAATGCTTAATATAACTGAGAGCTAAAGGGAATGGTTGCTGTGATTTAATTAATTGGTGAGATGCAGTGCTCAAGTTAGCGTTGTGGAGGCTGCCAGCCAGAAGCAAGAGACAGCTGCGGGGAGCTGCTAACAGGCACCAGTGGAGAAGCCATCCTCCCAGCTCAAGTGGTAAATAACTGTGAGGCTACATAGATTTCCCTTCCTTTAAGGGAAAAGTTAGCCATTCCCACTTATGTTCTACAATTTGAGTTTTATTATTAGCTGTTTAGTTGCAGATTCCATTAAAAAATATCCAGTCATGTTTTAGCTGTCTGCAGTGAGTAGCTCCACTCCACCAACCTCAGCAGCTTTTCTCATAGGGTTGCACCCATGTGCAACCACTGTCTATGGGCACGTAACCCCTCTCGGCCAGTACGGGACTCAAGAGTCAGCATCTCCCTCAGCGGAAAAGCAGTATTATATACTGGGGGTGTCACCTCACTTCTTTGGTGAAAGAAGCTCTCTATTGCCTCTGCAATGAGGTTTTCCTACAGTCCTGGGCTATCTTTCCGTTTGGCTTTTGTTCCCGCAGCACTCAGGGTGGGTTAGGCTGCACAGAGCACCCCCACCCCCCCCTTCTGCCATCTTATTTCTGCCAGTGACCATCGCCAATGCCAGGAAGTGCTTTGAACTGCGATACACCCAGAGTGGTTTGTAAATGCAGGATGGCTCCACAGTACTGAGGTTTTAGGAACTGTATGACCCAAATTTCTTAAAACACTGATTTGTGGAAATACTTTAAGCTGTCATCATTAATGTCTTTGGTTCTTCCTACACTATCCACACAAAACCGATAGGCTTTACTCAAGACAAGGAAGAAATCTGGTGACCTGATATGGGCTGGGGAGCTCTCGGGCCTCATGGTCTCTTTATAAAAACAACAGCACTGGCATGGCCGGCGCAGTCTGTCAACGTGGATTGGTGGCCAGCACGTACAACAAGTTTTTCCTTTTTTGGGGAAGAAGAGACTGAAGAGGGAGGGACAAGTGGGAAAGAAGAAAGGGCCGTAAAACGGAACAAATTTCAATGCGCTGTTACAATCTTTGACCATTTTCTCCCTGACACGCAAATCTCCAGAGCATTTAAGATCAAAATGTGACAAAGAGTCAGCCAGAGAGGGAGGAGTAAAGGGAGATGCCACTTGAGCTGGCACACCAGAGGATCTTTAAATAGAACAGCTTTCAGGGAACTCAGGGCTGGTGCTTACTGCACAAAATTTAACCCCCCCATGAACAGCCCCCCCTGCTCTTTGTATGTGCAGCAATTGGGGAAGGGAAGGGGGAAAGGCACTAAAACAAGCACCAGGCCCTACTCCTCGCATGCCCCCAGGCTGGTGCTTTGAGGTGGAGCTGCCAGCTCCCCCCAAGGCTGCAAGTCCCTGGGGAAGCAGTACCTGTTAGTCAGCTCCTCTGCTTCCTCCGGGTTCACAGCTGCCGCCGCCGCTGCCTCCTCACCCCCCTCTCCTCCTCCTCCTCCTCTTCTTCTTCTTCCTCCTCTTCCTCTTCCTCCTCTTCTTCCTCTTCTTCTTCATCCTCTATGAAAGACGAGGTCTCAGACGCCCTGTTGCACTCAGCGCCGTGGTACCCCTCCATGCCCTTCCCAGCTCAGGCCCTCGTCGGTGATTTTTACCCCCGACCCTGTCCTCCCCAGGGTTGCCTGAAGCAACTGTCATCCCCAGCAGCTCTCACTTCTCCTGAGTCAGGACAGCCTTTAAATAGAAAGAAGGCAGTGAAGTTACAACGCCGAGGCGCTGCTGGTCCGACCCCGGGTCCTAGCACCAACCGGGTGCCAGGACACGTGGCAAAACCCAACGGCCATCTGTCCGGCTGCTCACCCCTTCACCCACCCGCCGCTGCTGACGATGGGGCAGCAGGGCAGCGGCAGGGAGGAAGGGGCTGGGGCCTCAGCAGACCTTCTCAAGCCATCTCTAGCGATTTTGGGGTGGATGGCACAGATGAAGCGGAAGGAGATCTTTCTTGCGGCCCAAAAAGGTGCCTTTAGTACATTCAAAAGCAAGTTCCACCCCGAGCACACACAGAGCACCTCAAATTTGAGCTGGAGAGGTCAAACACAATTACAAGTGGAGGTGCCTAGGACACACACCTTTAATAATCAATACCATACTGTAAGAGGTATCAGATGCACTGTAGTTTTTAACAACACACAGTGAATATATCTGAACCCGCAAATTTGTCAAGGTGCTAAATCACGTGACATTTCAAACTTCTTATTTGAGTAGACTTGAACCAATTTTAATTTAAAGCAAAGACAAACTATATTACCATGTAGGGTTTAGGTGAAGCCACGTTTACCATTTCTTATTTTGCATTTCACACAAAATGCAGTGCTTTTCACAGACAAAATGGAAATATTTCCAACCTGTACTAGCCAAAGTAATGACTTCTTTTAGAATTACTTTTTAAGAGAGCGGGAGAAGCATCTAAATTCTGAATCTAAATAAAGAACTTCCAAGTTATTTCAGGTATAAAACATCATATACACAGTATAACTTAATTTTTTTTCTTCCTGATTTTTATTTTTTTTCTTTTGTTCTTCAAATAAATAGCCGGTTATAAATTAGTCAACAAACTCTTCCTTGTGTTATAAGTACAGAAACACCCACTCAGGTATTTCTGAGTACAACCTCTCTCTGAAATGCTAAGTTAAAATTCTACTGACAAATTCACTTGAAGTAAAATATTTCATAAACAGTACATACCAATAAAACCTGCCTGCTGCTTTGACCTACCCACTGATGTACACAATTTACAAGGTCAGAACATAATTTCTTGAAGAAGTGTACTTGAAACAGATACTGACTTAAACTCCACATTTTATCATGAGAACAGAGACAGCATACGCAGCACAATGAAATTTAAGGTAGAGGACTTCACATTCTTTACACATGGAAGACAAGAGCATTACAATCTTCTAGAAATGCTCATATATGAAGCATACATATATTGCACATTTTGATTCAGTTTTCAGCGCAGCAAGAGGAAGGTAAGTACCCTTTTACCAGAACCCCTTCAAATTATTTCCAGAGCTAGTGCTCTCCCTCCTGTACTTCTCACAACTTAATTTGACCAGTAAGTGGACCAAAATAGCATATTCTTTCATACTTTTCCTACAAGCATCATACTCTAAAATCAATGAGGGAAAGATTTCTATTAAAACACATAAGGATTAGGGAAAACAAGACAAACATAACAAAACCAAATATTACAAAATACAGGTGATACAACCCAGAGCAAGTAAGAGTCCATTAAATCAAGAGTGACATTCTCTGATGGACTTAAATTTAACACCAAATCTACTGTAAATTGAATCTAGTGACCCAAGTTCAAGTAAAGCATTGGTTCCAAATAAGTATTTGGGATGGTATTCACAAATGCTAATTTCAGGTTATCCTGCATCCTTTTATCATGGCTGCCCACTTCTCCCAAATAACCATGTCACCCTTCAATGTGAGTCTTAAAATCAGTTTATATGGAATTCTTTGTAAGGGATTTCTTAAAAACAATCTCTCACGCTGTCAGAACACCTTAAGGTCCAGAGAGTACACTTGCACTACGACATTTTAGGAGAAGTGAGAGCAAGGGAGCTAGAAGAGAAACTTCAGGTTTCACAGTATACAGCCTATGCCAGTTCCGGCACTGCTGTTACTGAATGGGAAGATCTTGCTAATGTCTTGTCCTCCCATACACCTCTGAGCCTGTTAATCAAAAGCACTGCTAGAGGACTAAGGAGAATTGCTAAAATCCTAGACAAGACAGTAGTAGTTTCTGACATTCCATAAGGTGAGAACTGACAGGCAAACTCAATGCCAAAATGAGTAGGCAAAACTAATTGTAAAATAACAGAGTTGAAATAAAGCATTTTTATTTTAAGGCAGCCAGAAGCCTCGGAGAAGTTGGCATCTTGCACACATGCTGAAACCTTGGTCTGCCATGAAAAACACCTTTCACCAAAGGTCTCCCAGAAAAACTATACCTGCTAGGGTGTACACCAAGGGACAGGTGTGTGAAGGTTTTTATTTTGAAGTTGAGGAGAAAGGAAAACTTCACACTAACACTAAAATTTATGATAGCCATTAGTGGATTTCTTGCTCTGGATACCTGCCCAGAGTGGATTAAAATCCAGGTCGTTAAACCTCTGAACAACTTCAGACTACACAGAACTGAATCCAAAGTTAGTTGAAGTTCAGCTCCTACTCACTCTTCCCAAATCATTTATTTTGTAGCATTTTATCCGAAGTTTTCTGATGAAAGTTGCAGCCCACTATTTAACAAATATCATGATGTTCACTCACAGAAAGTGGTGCTGCTCTTCTTTGCCTTCACAGGAGACTAATATAATGTGAGATCTGGTAAAATTCGTTTTCCAGACCTCTCAGATTATTTTTTTAACATATGAAAGCACTCCCACTTTCCATGCTCTTGCCAGATTACCCAGTAGCTTCTTTCACTATAAGCTAAACCAAGTTACACTACCCTGCTTAGGTAACACAGTAAATTACTGTAGAGTTTTCTATTGTTAGAGAAGATGTGACAAACAGGCTTGGCCCCAAACAATTGGGGAAAAGTACCATCTAGACTTCATATTTTTGATTATAGATGTAGCTTATAAGTAGTACATAAACTTGAGAAAAAAAATGCAAAAGGATTCTTTTGAAAGACAAAGGCCATTGTGATTACAGATCTTGGCTTGTATTAAAAAGATCACTGAGTTAGTGGGTCAATTTTTACAGAGTTGTACAGAGGTACCATAATTTTAACTATTTTAAAAGTTAGGAAGAAGCGGTTTCAAACATAAAGCAGTAATTTAAAGTGTAAGATGCATCACGTATGTGTCAATGTAATGCAAACTCATCAGACAGACACATCAAACTTCTCACATTCAGCTCACTTGGAATACATTTTTGCCAAGTTTGAACATGTATGTCTCTTCTTAGTTATCCTATGTTGGGAAAGTTTTTCATTTTCTAGACAAAGAGATAGCCAGCACCAGTTTAAAAACAGAGCAGCCCTCCCATCTCCCCAAAATCCACCTAGGACTTGTAGAGCATCTTTGAATCCTACATCAATCCTGGAGTAAAAATAGTGCTTCTATTTTACATAAAGCAGGTAAAAGCAAATGTTTCATTTAGATCAAGTCTACCATATTATAAAGAGGAATGGCAGTGATGGGGAACATCTGCATGGAGGGAGAACATTTTAGTGGATTGCTAGAGTCAGATTAGAACTGAAAGACTGGTTAAATCGCAGAAGGAAGCTGTTTAAGAAGCAAGCCACAATCCTACATAGACTAGATCATGATGAAGTGTGTAGTAAACCTCACAGCAGGCAAATAGTTTACAGTTTCTAGAACTTCTAAATTGTAAAACTTGAAATAAATTAGAAGTTTGCACAAGAAGAGATAACGCTTTTTATTTTACAGTTATAAGGGTTTTTACAATCTCCTTAGAGATGGCAATACATGAAACTTTTACCTCTTACACAGATGGAGTGCAGAACAGCCATATAGAAGTTATGATCTGCAATAGGGGCCTTACCTTTATAGGACATTTCCTTTTCTACTTAATTATAGGAAATATTTAAAATATGCAATACAAAATAACATAAACTGGAAAAACAAGCTGTATCTTTCATATACAAACTTTATTCCACTGGACACCATACAAAATATTAAACTTTTAAAAATGAAAATATCAATTTGACATCAATGGTAAGTACAGTTTTAACAATTAAATGGTCTTCAATAACAAGTATATGAGAGGCATGAATTGTGCTGCAGGAGGTTTAAAAGAGGGTTCACAACTTTTTGGAAAAGCTAGAATTTTAAGATTATTTAAATTCAATTTACAATACCTGACCAATTTACAAATATTTATACAAAATGAAAACAGAAGCCCAGCTTATTGTAGCAGTAGTAGGATTGTGGGGTGTTTTGGGTTTTTTTCCCTCCTCCCCATCCCCAAAGCAGACATCACTACTACTTCAAATACATAAAAGGAAGCACTAAAAGGATCTTGTCTACTCTGTGTGAATGTGAAGCATTTATGTATATTGGTTTGTCCTTTTTTATTTCAACTTCTTTGTAGTAGAGCTGTTGCTTGAAAATTCCAGTTTAGACTACAGTTCTTGATATCCAGAACACTACCAACCATAACCTACCTTAATCTTCATAAATTGTTGCTTGTTGTTCCATGTAAAAGGGAAATAAAACTGGAAAGTGCCAAGTTGAGCAAAAGTGCTTACTGCAATTTAGCATATGTAAAGCACAGGCTGTCCAGGAAGAAGTGGGTACTGTGCACAATGCCTTAAGGATAGAGTCAGCCTTGTACATTGTTTTACTCTGAATGTCTCTATTTCATAGTTAAATGTGTCTGAATTAATGATTACACAGACTAAGGAAACAAGAAGTCAGTATATTCCCATAGGTTCCTTAAAATGGATTTACTTTTGTGGTTTGCTCTTTGAGTTTCTTCGAGAATTCAACAATGCAAGCATTTTCAGAAAACATATCTTTGAATGGACAACTGTATTAACAAATGTCAATAATAAAATATCCAATCTTTCTTATAAACATTTCCTTAACAAAAGTTTACAGAGAAAAACACGTCATAGAAAACCATGGAGTAACTGCCTCTTGATTTTGATACTGTTCTCTATTTCAGCAGAATCCAATAAGAAGAAAGTGAAAGAAGTTGGTTATCTTTTCCGTGTGGTTGTTCTTAAAGGTAATACACAGTTCAGGTCTTTCTTGTCTTGTAATACCTGCCAAGCCTGGGGAAAAAAGTACAAGGTTTTAAAAGGCTCAATAATCTTTGCCATCAATACTTAAATACCATTGTAAGCAGTAAGCCTCACAGATCCACAAAAATAAGGTTGATATTTTTCCACTTCTTGAAAAGAGAGGAGGTTTGTTGTTGTTGTTGTTTTAAGGGAATTACAAATCCAAAATGTATACAAAATGAAGTGAACTACTGAGGAAAGTACAGCCTTTCAAGAAGAGAGCGGATTTGTACAGATTGAGATAATATTATTTAAGCACTACACTGACATTCTGACTGCAAAATAATTGTCTCAACATGTCAAAGTTCCTGATACAAGGTGTTATACTCTGGCATTTCCAGAACTTAATTGTGTCTTTAAAACAGTTTTTTTCAATTTTCTTCTGTATTCTAGTGTGAATTCCAGGACACATCTGTCACATCTGTTAGGCCATGAACCTACAAATAACTGCAGTGACCCTCCTGTCTTTACACATAATTCATTTAAACCACAATGTGTAATAACACCACAGGAAGAATAATCTCTCAAGGGCAATGAGGCAAACAGATTCCTTAGGCTTCTTTAAAAAAGTTCAAGTTATTAATAAGTAATTGCAGTTTTAAGCAACTGTCATTCCTTATGGTTCCTAATAAAGAGGAAATTTTTTCAGGGCCATAACACTCCAGGATATAGGCTTCCAGACAGCTAGGATCAAACAACTGCTTTTACAGATTTTACTGATTTCACAGAACAGTGAGAGCACCCAAATTACTTTGCAAACCACTGCTTTAGCAGATTCACAAAATCAAGTATTTTATGTAAAAGTATGTGAACAGTTCAGTATTTTGTACACTAACATGGTTAAATAGAACAAAACTGACATTTCTTTGTAATTCTGTTCAGAAGTTACCCTTTTCTGACTAAGGCAACATCTTACAGCATTTGTCTATTAAAAATATCTATCATTGATTTCCTTTTTGCTGGAGATGCCCTCAAGAAATTCAAGGACTTGATTAACTGGAGTAAACAGGAGCCTCCAATGACAGCATACCAGAGGAGTATAACTAATCCCTTAGTCATAACTACATTATGACTAGTCAGAGACTAGTCTCTGGCTATTTCAGAAAACTAGAATTTGAGCTTTGATTCCAAATGCAATGCTTATGACAGGAGACAAGCATAAGAGAGAGGTGGTAGCAAGGATTTTTAGAAAAAGGATGTTTAACCAAGGCCTAAATCTTTTCTTGCTTCAAAGTGTCCTTGCCTCCTCTGCTGACTGGAACAGTGAATGCTCCAGTTTGAACTACTTGTGTTCTAAAATTATGAGTGTGGTCTCCCTAAAGAAAAGTACCAATTTAATTCAGTTGTCAAAAGCCAGCAGAAAAAACATTGGTGGCAATATTTATAAAAAAGGCATAGTAAGAAGTATAAAACATTGTTTATTACCAGTCAAATTCATGTAGGAAGAAATAATGAATGAAGATAAAGTTGTAATTCTAAAGCTTTTAACCATCATTAGAATTTTACAGACAAAAGAAAATCTAAGACCAAGGGTTTACTATTTCAAGTACCCATTTCAACTTACGCCTGATGCTTGATGGCAGACACTAATAAATACTCTTACTAAATAGTTTTCCACAAAATTTTTTAAAAACCACATTTCTATTATTTCTATAGTACAAAGCATAAAAATATTCATAACACAAACATCAGAAACAGGCAGGTTCAATGACTAGCATTTGTATAAATATCTTAAAAACCAAAATGACTGGAAAAATTAAATGAGATGTATTTTTTACCTTCTGAAATTCACCTTTGATCATAGCAAACTTCTGGTTTTCATGTACAGCTCTGGCAGTGTTTGTCCTGTCAAAGGGCTCTGCAAGATCAAACAAAACATTAAAAGTGTTAAAAAAAATTTAGAGCTAGGCTGTCTTCACTGAGCAAGTAATCAGACAAAACTCAGAAGGGTTAACACATCATTGCTTCCCAAGAGTGTTTTGAATGGCTGATTCCACTCTGCTTCTCAATCTTTGTTTCTACACAATGTTCATCCAAAAAAAAGCCCCAAACCCTGAATGCTCTAATGGTATATAATCCATAATAAAGTCAGGTTATTGTATCTGTTGAAGCTTACTATGATTGTGCTGTATTTATGCATCAGTAATTATTTGTTACTGCTTAATAGTCTGTGATAACATATCAGAACATGATTTTGCATACTAAAATGTTTTGAAACTTACTACACAGGTGCCTCTTGGAACTGTTCCCTTTAGATTCATCTCATTCAACAGCTTCTTAGTGAAATACAAGGAGTACCGTAAAATATTTACTACAACTTTTTATATAAGATGTATCAACTGCTGTAAAAATATATTTTATCAGTTCATACCTATTCTACAATATCTATTCATAAGTTAAAAGGAAAACATCACATAAATTGTTTTTTTGCTAATATAATTAATAATTTCAAACTTTTTTTAATTGAAGGATTCAAAAAGTACTCCTTGCTACTGATAGGCTTGCCAACATTAAAGCAATAGATACTAAAAAATTATGATGCAGAGACTATCCATTACAATGTACTACAAAACAGATTTTACAGTCTTTTTTCCCTTACTAGAGAAACTAGTAACATGGTGTACTTCACACTGGCAGAATGTATGAAAGTCCTTAATGGCCACAGAATCTCAGAAGTATTTCCTAGATCAGGCAGTTTTTTTGTTTAGTTGGTTATGAATTGCTATAGTAAAATAAAGCATTAAGCAGATATCAGAAGGGCTTATGCCAGAAACTGGGACTTCAAATTTGGAACACGCTCCATGGCATTGGGTTTTTATTTCTGCCAAGTATTTAAATTCACAAAGAAGTTGTTTCATGCAATAAATGTTGTATTTAGCAAGCTTCTAAAAGGTTTCTCTTCAAACTACTCAAAGTTTTCAGTGGACATTTACAGGCAGATTTATTTTGCTTCAGAACACATCATACATTTAGATTGGAACAAAAAACTGGCAATGAATAAAAAAGGTACAAAGTCCTCTAAAGTCAGTCACATAATTTGACACAGTGGCCTACTGCCACTAAGAATTCCATGTCCAGTAGAGCATTTCTTTTGTGTGCCTCAAATGTGATGTTAAATGTTTCTTTAACACTAGGACCTTACATACATTATGAGGAATCAAAAGATACATATTTTTTAAAGCAACAAGAGCAAAGCTGTACAATCTTCTG